GCATGCGGGGAGCGGAGGCGCTGAAGCCTCCGGCAGCTCTTCTGCCAACAGCAGTCGATGGCGAGGAGGCGGAATGAAAACAGACCTGGCAGCCCTCCCAGGCAAGGCAGAGCCCTGCAGCTAGCCAGGGGCGCTGGGTAATCACTGCAGCCGGAAAGCCAGCAAACGAAGGGGTGTTTATACGAAAGGGGCCTAACAGTGGAGGTGGGAGGCCCTTTTGCACCACCACAAACGTGTGTGCAAATACACACAGCAACACAAACGTGCAAGTGGAGACCCGTGCGTTACAAACTCACAGCTGTGCACCCACACGTGCAGACGTGGTATCCATGTGCACCAAACACCCATGCACAAGCATGCACGATAGCCCGTGTATACACACCTGCAGTGCAAGCCCATGCATGAGAGCACGCACACCACTTGAACACACACACACAGTGCAAGAGGTTACTTTACCAATTCCGTGTCTAAATACAAAGGAAATCAGCAGGCACGGGTGTCGCACTCTCAGGTATTAGCACCTCGGTGGAGCCTTTCTCCTGGCCTCCAAGGAGCACAGGGGGACAGGGAAGAGCTGAAACCACGCCCGCCCCCTCTGCACAGCTGGCAACGTGCGCCAAGAGCAAGCCCGTGCCCTGAGCCAGTTGGGGAGCTGGGAAGGGGATTTTTCTCCATGTCTCCGTAATTTTCGGGAGCCCCTTAGTCTAGCAGGTTGCGCCTCACTGCTGCCCGGCGCTGAAATGGGCCAACCCTATGTACCAGGACTGCCCGGGCAGCGGGCCTCTACCTCCCCTGCCAGGCCTCCCGTCCCTCGCAGGCTGCTCCCAAGGCACGGCTCTGTAGCGCTCCCAGGAACGCCGTCAGTTCTGCTCAGGGGCTCGGCGGGGGATGCAGCAGCTTCAGCGAGCCTGGACACTCGGACTGTTCTTTTACCAATTTGCTTCTCCTTTCCCTCCCCATCCCCCCCTTCCTCTGCTATTTCTGTGGAACCCCACAAACTCCAGGCCGCTGAAGAAGTGGGTTGTGCCCACGAAAGCTCATGAGCCCAGCGCCGTGTTCTGTTGGTCTCTACGGCTACGTCTACACTGCAAGGGTTTTGCGCAAAAACCTGCGGAGCATCCACCCCTCAAATGCGCTTTTGCGCAAGTAAATCAACAGTAAGGGTGTGTCTAGACTACAGTCCTCCGTCGACGGAGGCAAGTAGATTAGACAGATCGGCAGAGGGAAATGAAGCCGCGATTAAAATAATCGCGGCTTCATTTAAATTTAAATGGCTGCCCCGCTCTGCCGATCAGCTGTTTGTCGGCAGATCGGGGCAGTCTGGACGCGCCGCGTCGACAAAGAAGCCTTTCTTGATCGGCACAGGTATGCCTCGTGAAACCAGGTTTACCTGTGCCGATGAAGAAAGGCTTCTTTGTCGGCACATCGCGTCCAGACTGCCCCGATCTGCCGACAAACAGCTGACCGGCAGAGCGGGGCAGCCATTTAAATTTAAATGAAGCCGCGATTATTTTAATCGTGGCTTCATTTCCCTCTGCCGATCTGTCTAATCTACATGCCTCCGTCGACGGAGGCATGTAGTTTAGACGGCAGAAGAGAGGGCTTTTGCTGGTATAGGTAATGCTCCTTCTATGCGGCACAACTCCCTTTTGCGCTACAGCGATTGCACAAAAAGGCAAGTGTGGACGCTCCAGAGGGGTTTCTTGTGCAGGGGGTTTCCCTAGTGGAAAAAGCAGAGGTGCTTTCACAGAATGGCCATCCGAGCTTTCTTGCACAAGCGCATCCATGCAGTGTGGACGCTCTCTTGCACAACAGCACATTGCTTTTGCGATGCGCTTTGAGGTGTGGACGTGCTCTTGCGCGAGCAGCCTGCAGTGGAGACGTCGCCTACGGTACTGCGGGACCATTCGTTGTTTTTAAGAGGCGTTTCAGGGTGGCGGGTTAGCGGTTAACTTGTGTTCTCCCGTGTGTGTGGTTTTTAAAAAAAAAACTCTTTAAAAAAACCCAGAACTGCATTTTCATGGGGCAGCTCTGTATTCCCCAGGTTTATTTTAACAGCTCTAATGGGAAGAAGAAACCCTCAAACCTGAGCATGGTCCATTAAATGCCTTTGCTTGAGCACCAGATTGGAGCTGGGTGAATTAATGCACGTTGGCCCTTTTGGCGGCTTGACCCAAAAGACCAGCTCTCGGGAGCTGTCTCGGCTGAACGGCTCCACAGCGGCTCCTGAAGCGGCTGGGCTGACGAGGTATTCTGCAGGAGAATTAAAGAGGGGCAAGGGCTTTTTTTCCTAGAAAGCCCCATCAGCTGGAGTCATGTGATTATACCAGCATCTCAGCCTTCCGTTTAACATACAACGGTACATTTCCAGCCCCGCTGGTGATGGGGCGAAAGCTGGAAACCGAGCCCCCTCAAGGCGCAAAGCCCAGGAGGCAAAGAGAAAGAACCCGGCTGTGTTCGCTTTCAGATCTCCTGGGCTTTAAGGCACCTTCACGACTTGCGGGGCCTGTCTCGCCAGGCTGGTTGGCGCTGCTGGCTCATGGACCCTGAAGTGGGGCCCAGGGACCTATCTGCCAAGCTAGCCCCAGGGCGGAATGGAACTGGGGAGGGCGGGCCAGGGAGGGGCTTTTGCAGGAGCTGGCGAAGGAGCAGACGGGGCTTGTCACCGTGGGCAGAATCCGGCCCGTTCCGTGGGAATGACCTTCGGCCCTGATCCTGCAGCTCTGGGCACCACTGGGCTTCCGTAGTATTAGCAGCCTCGTGAGACACCGGAGGGCTCGCACACGAGTAACGCTCCGGCCGTGCGACCCGCACAGAGCTCACCAGCAGGGAACAGGCCTTGCAGAGGGGAACGCTCCTTTGGGGTCAGCCCTGGCCCCACCCGCTCACGGCAAAGGCAGGGTGTCCCGAGACAGGGTGCCCTGGAGGAAAGGGACCCTCCTTTGCCCTGCACCCCCTTACTGGCAGAAGTGAGAGCGGCTTCTAGGCTGCTCTAACTCACACCAGCAGCATCAAGGAGTCAGAACCAGCTCAGGGCCCCCCCAGCACCCCAACCTTCGCTGTCCTGAGCGCGTGGAGAGAGCCCGAGGAGAGCTCCACGCAGGACGGAAGGTTTGGGGAAGCTGGCCGAGGGGGAAGCAAGGGGGCCGCTGTAGCCTTGAGCAGGGAAGGCTGAGGGGGCACCCGGGAGCTGACCTCAAAGGGTTGGTCTGAAGAACACGGGGCCCAGTGCTCTCCATGCCAGCTGACGAAATGGGCTCCGTCTGCAGCAAGGGCCCCTGAGGGGAGATAGGAGGACAGGCGCCAGGAGGGTAGCTCCGTCCAGGGGAGGCGGGACCCATCGCTGGGGGTCTCGGGGCACGTTGTCTGTCCCAGAGGGCTGAGGGTGCTAGGTCCTGCCTCAGCAGGCGAGGTGGGCCCAGGCGAGCTCTCGAGTCCCGCCCAGAGCGCGGTTTCTCTGATCTTAGGGTGCGTGCCATTCATTTTTAAGGGGCGCAGGATCAGCGCCTCTGGCCTGACCCAGACGCCAGGCTCCCCGGGACGTAGCCCTTCCCCCGCCAGCCTGGGACGCGCCCCGGAGCTGCCGGCGCATTTTCACCGGGCCCTTGTCCTCTCCCCCGGCTAGGTGCCGTGAGGGCGTCCAGCATCTTCCCCATCCTGAGCGTGGCCTTGCTGTTCTTCGGGGGCCTGTGCGTGGCCGCCAGCGAGTTCTACAAGAGCAAACACAACGTGATCCTCAGCGCCGGGATCTTCTTTGTCTCGGCAGGTAAGCGCCCGCCCAAGGCACAACGGCTCAGGCACGTGGCGAGACGCCGCCCCCCCCTGCAGGCGAGCCGAGGGAGCGAGGAGCAGACCGAGGGGGCGGGAGTGGGGGGTCAACAGGTTGCGGGTCAGAGGTGGGGTTCGGTTAAGGCCTCTAATCCAGAGATACAATTCCGGTGGCGTTCCCAGCTGGCCCCGGGCCGGGCCATTACTGGAGGGCACGGACCGAGGCCTTGGGTAGGAGTGGGCCGTAGGGAGGGATCGGAAGGAGGTGGAGAGCGCTGCTTGACGCGTCTGTCCGGGCAGGGGAGTCCACGGAGACTGAACTCCCCTCCGGCCCAGAGGGAGATCCCGGGAGGCCAGGGCGTGCCAGGCTAGGGGTTCCCGTCTGGCTCGGTGCGCTCAGACCTCAGCAAATCTCTGGCCCTTCGTCCCCCAGGCAGGGACACACTAGTATCACCCCGCCCCCCCGGCTGAGACTGGGGTGCCTCTGCCCCGGCAGGGGGAGGGTGGGGCGTGGCGGCGGGGGGCTGACAGGTTGGTTTTGTAGGGAGG